TTCATACCGAGAGATACACATCTCTCGCTCTCTTTCTCTGTGGCGCTCTCTCACTGTTAGTGTATCCCCATGCTTGCTATCGCCCCTTTCCCCGTTCGACGAAGCGAATGAGCGAGTTGCAATGCGGTAACATGGCAAACGCGCCGGCTCTTTACTTACCGCACAGGTAAGCCCGCGCGCACAACTCGCATACAGACTGAACGGACGGTACCATTACCAGCGTCGCTTGAACGCATACCATACGCCAATTATACAGTTCTTATCGAATTACGTGATTTTTCATTGCCGTGCGATCGTCTCGCGTGCATATGACACCGCCATGGGACGCATGTGCTTCATCCAGATCGACCGTAACCAGTTCTTCAGTTTGTTTCCATCGCCCGATCATTCGCTGCAGCTCTAATCTCGTGCTTCTGTGAATACGTGCTTCGTGCAGTGGACCGCGCTTCTTTTCGACTCACGAACTTTTCTTAACAATGACCGCCGCTTAGTCAAGTTTTTCAACGCTCTCCTAGAACTCGCTTTTGTTATTCCGTTGTTCCAGAGATGCCAAGTCCGACAACAGTTTTCGTCTCTTTACCACCACTAGTCTCTTGAATCAGTATGTATTGATCGATAGACATTCGCTATTTCAACGTAGCTCTTCAAACTCCATTAACTTACTGGAATAAGTGTAATATGTCGTTTACAAAAGCCGATAATATATAGTGGTAGTGATCAAGCGAACGTTCGTCGCTGTAAATTATTACTCGTGCTCTCATACGAAAATTATCTGCCAACAATTCGCTATTTAAATAATCAAACTTGATTACAAACGATATTTACATTTTATTTTTCCTCTCTCTCTCTCTCTCTCTCTCTCTCTCTCTCTCTCTCTTTCTCTCTCTCTTTTTTCTCCTCCATTTGCATTTCTATTTTATCTACAAATTAATAAACATTTCATCATTTTTCACTAAAACACCTTTCTATGAAAAAGGGAAGTAGACGAAAGTAGTTGAGAACCTGATAAGAAAGTTTGCTTACAATCGCTGCACACATATATTATATAATATCGCTCGATATAAGTAATACGTTAACATTTTTATTTTTTAAAAATATTTTTAGTAAACATACGAGAGAAAAAAAGGTTAATATTGGTTTATATCTAAACAACGAGCGTGATAAGAAAGTCTCAAGACAATATGAATTTTAGTATCATTTATTGATTGAAAAAAGATTCTCTATTCATACGAGTTAAATCATTGTAATTATATTTCAAGCAATTATATATTATTAAGTACTACTTTTTATTTTTACCCGTTTGCAGTAAAAATGAGGTGTGTCTTGATTTTCATATGAATTAGTAATATTTAACTAATTTTTATATGACTTTCTGTTGAAGTAAAATATTTTATGTCGATTAATTATATTAACTGTATCGTTTACATTTTTTATTAAAACATAAAGCAAAAGTCGTAAATTTTCATTAAAATAATACGACACAAGAATTATAAAACAAGGAAATGTACCTGCACTTCTTAACGTAAAATAAGTACAAAAATAAGAAAGATTGTAAAGAAAAACAAGAAAGCAACCTTTAAGAAAAGTTAACGAAAAGAAAAGAGGAAATAGAAAGAAAAAGAGAGTGGATTAGAGTAGGAGGAGAAGAAGAGGAAAAGAGGAAAAGATGACTCTGTCCTTATCGTTGCTTGCCTCAAGAAAGTCAACGGCCGAAGATTACGGCAATGACATTCACTTTTTCTTCTCTCTCTCTCTTTCTCTCTCTTCGTTCCCTCTCTCTCTCTCTCACTCTTTCTCTCTGTCCCTGCTTCTCTCCTTGCCTCTCTCTCTCTCTCTCACAGTCTGCTTCTTGTCAAAATGTAAGATAATCTTCTGTAGAAAAAATCATAAATAATCAATAATACACTATTAATAATCATAAGCTATTGTTTATTACAAAACTACATTTTTATTTAAGCAAATTTGAATTCAACATAATTATATAAAATGTGCTCACAGTTTTCGTATTACAATTGTTATTTTATTTACAAAAGTGATACTCATAAGTAATAATATATTTTCAATACTTCAGTTGAAAATTAGAACGGTAAACATAACAGTACTTAGTAGGCACTTAAAACAAAAATGTTTTGTTCCTTTATCGCCAAATAAATCATATAAAATATTAGCTTTTTATTTAATAAATATGGTATTTGTACTATTTGAATTTTGCGTAATTCCACATTCAATATGGCTCAAGGCAACACAGATATAGTCGAGTCGAATACAAAAGAGTTAGCGAGGAAAGATTTTCAATATTTTATTTTCTTAATTTGATTAATCGAATGCAAACTCCACCATGGTGTTATTAGATAGTTAGATAAATATATACAATAATATGTATAGAATGGGTTGTCGAATTCACATGTATGGCATGTAAAACTAAATAACTTCATTATTTTGCGATTGTTGAGTTTTTGTCAACATATAATCGAATAGTTCTATATTCATTAAAAATATAACAAGAGGAACGATCACTATAATTATGAGATTGAAATTCAGTTTTAATGATAAATAGAAACTTAGGATATGAAATTTCAATGAAAGTACGTAAATTTTTTTGGATCATATTATCCGAAAAATTATATATATGTACAGGGAGGTAAAATAGATGTAAATAAATGAACGTTTTAAAAAAAGAAACGTGAATTGTCAATATACATACAGCTTATGCCAGTAACTTTTTTTGATATTTTTCTATCCTATTATTTCTTACTGATATACGAGAAATATTCAATAAAATCTAGAGCATCTTAAAAATATGATGAAATCGTTAATTAATTTTATTTCTCAAGTTTAACAATATTGCATAAATATTGAAGATTGCTATTTATAATGAGTATTGTTTACCGCCGATTAGGTTTCTTTCATTTGTTTTATTATTTTGTTCCAGCAATGTATTTGGCGATAAAGTATCAATGATGCAATGAAGATATGAGTATGCATGTTAAAAAAAAGAGTAATTATTATGAGTTACTTGCCGGTACTTCAGACCTAATAACTTAGATAAATGGCATTTAGCTGTGAATATTTTAATCAAGCTGTGAAATCATAAAATCCACAAATGCGTGGAAGGCTCTGTGCATTGAAAAGAGCAATGAAATAGCAGTCGGTTAGACAGCTTATTAGAATATCATCCTTTTACTCGTGAAAGCTGAATAAAAAAGGCATCATGAAAGAAGAAGAGAAAAAGCAAAAAGCAACGATTTGGCGTGAAAAATAATTCAATGCAAATGCACGTTCAAAACGATGGACGTATTCAAGATCGACCAAACGCTGAATACTGGTCTGGGTAACACTCCAGTTCCCGACACTTTAACGCCTGAAGTAACGTTTGGAACTGACGACGAGTTCAACCTGAGTTTTTTTGACGGGCCCGAAGATAATAGTGCTCAGGGTTTTAGCGACACTGGTTCGGTAGGTAGTTCTAGCACCTCTCCACCTCCAGCTGCTTCTATTAATACTACCAGTGCAACGAGTTTACCCATCATTCCAGCATCGACAGGAATCATAACTAAACAAGGTTCGTTATTTTCTCTCCATTGATTTTTTCCTAATAGCTGATATTTCTTTGAGGTTTTCTTGGATTTCTTGTCGTACGCGAATCGAGATTGGCGATTGCAATTAACGAGTCGAGTTGGCCAACAATAATTTACAAAGGCTTTCCATCGATTGATGGATTTCCGATCCATAATTAGAAGAAAGCAGAGACGAACATTTAAAAAATTGTATTGATTTTGCGATGGATTTCGCTATTAGACTAATTGGAAATGCCCTCCGAAATTGGAGAGATTTCGAGAATAGCTTTTCGACTCGCGAATAACAAAGGGCAAGCCATTAGAAAGCGTGGTCGTATCTACAGTTGCTCACGTGGGGCCATCAACGATATTTTGAACTGAGAAGTGTACAAGCGTACACTTCTCTATCTTTACCTTCTAAAAAAATCATTATGCAATCCGAAACTATCTCTCCCTCTCTCCACACTCCCTCTCTCTTCCCCTTCTTTTCATTTCTATGTGTCGCGCATGAAAGTTGAATACAGAATGTCTTAGACACTGCACGTAGAAAGTGCAAAGCACCATGAGAAAGCGAGAGTATACCTTTGCGCTGCATAAATTATTACTACTGTCTACTGATTTTGCTTTTTATTTCCAAATTTTTTTTATTATTTTTTAACAGACAAGGCACGGAATATTTCAATCTCTCAGTGCTTTCTTTTCAAAAATTCGAACTAAAGTGCGTATTACTTATCCATTTTACTTGTATCTCACTTCCAATACCTGTAGAATATAAGTCTGCGGCAATTTAATGGATTTGCTGTTGCGTTACATAATGAAATGTAAATACGTTCACAATCTTGCAATATAATAAACATAACAGCAAGAGCACTAGAAAGTACTAAAGTATATTCTAGCGGCTGATGGTTGTTATACTAGAATCAGCAAAAAGTTAGCTTTGTTTAGGAGCTGTGGACATGGGTTAATAATTTCTTTTGCGTCGTCTGTCGATTTCGATTCTTTTTTTCACGTTATAACAAAATTAATTCTTCTTTCCTTTTACATATGAACTAAACAGCTTAAAGATCGATAAAGCAACGTATCATTTGCAATATACACTGTTCTGTAAATGTATACTGAAGATCGCACGGTAGTACAACTCTGTACACTATACTGTAGGTGTAACGTTTGCTACGGGCAAACTAACTTTTCTCTCTCTCGCCTTTAAATTACTACTAAGCTACATAATGAACAGCGATTGAAAATCATGACTTTTCATTCGCGTCATGGTTTTATATTAACTCTTCAATAGGTTGTATCACTTCAATATTTCATATAAAAAGTGCTTTAGTTCATTAATAAAGTAAATAATTTTAACTAATAATATCTATTAAAAATACAAGTATATATGAGTTTTGCACAATTCTACACAACAAATAAGCGTATAATATTTTATTGTTTTAGAACAACATTATGCGGCAGCGGATTCGAATAGTTCGACTCCGGCTAAAAGCTTCATTCCATGTAAAGTTTGCGGCGATAAAGCAAGCGGCTACCATTACGGAGTTACTAGCTGCGAAGGATGTAAAGTAAGTATTGTAGTTGATATTGAAAGCGCATTAACGCATATTGATTATGAGAAATATTTCATATGATTTCTTAACGATCGATAATATGTCAAAATGTTTATTGTTTGTTGTCTAGGGATTTTTCAGGCGTAGCATTCAGAAACAGATTGAATATCGATGCTTGAGAGATGGGAAGTGCTTGGTCATAAGATTGAATCGAAATCGTTGCCAATATTGCAGATTTAAGAAGTGTTTAGCTGTTGGGATGTCTAGAGATTGTACGTATTTTTATTTAGAATAGGAATTCGGTAGCATTGAGTCTAAGCGTACGTTGGTATTGTCAGGTTTGCGTCAGATCGCGAAGATTTACAAACACGTACAAAAAACGAAAACGCAACAATTTGATTCTCTAAAACTCTTACTATAATTTCGTCCTGCGTGTTTCGTCCGAAAAACGTGTCATTGGTGACAACATCATGATTTCAACATATAAATCTCGCGATGCGTATCCATAAATACAACCGACTCAAGTAGTGAATTTTCAAATTTACGTTCGCAGAGACTTTAACAAAAAATTTTATCACGTGAACTTATTTATAAGTTTGGCTTTGCAACAACATATCAATATTATTGAAAGATATAAAAATTAGTTAGAGGATACATTACTAATTCGATGATTGCTTTCAATGAACATCAATGAATGATTGAAAAGCTGTATGTGTTTTGTTCTAGCTGTGAGGTATGGTAGAGTACCAAAACGCTCTCGCGAACGAAGTCTCGATGAAGGGACACCAGCAGCTACGACAACGTCTACGATAAATCACAACTTGTTAAACAGTGAAAGTCCTACGGGAGCGAGCGTCAATAGTGTACCAATGTCACAATTAACGGCCACCAACACCAATTCCATTACTTCTAATTCCAGCAATGAATGTAGGCTCACAAATAATAGCAGTAACAATAACAGCAGCAGTATCAGCAACAATAATACTATCAGCGTTAACAACAACAATAACAACAACAACAACAACAATAATAACAATAACAACAATTCTTGCAACCCGCAAATCCAAAACGCGATCGCTTGCACACCGCAAACAACTATTGTGGAGGCCGACCAGTCAGACGTCGAAGCTAAACAGTCAGCTATCTACGATATGATATTGCAAGTCTCGCAAGCACACCACGCGCATTGCAGTTTGCCTGAAGAATCGATGCGAGGGATCGCTAGAAAACCCATCGTTATACCGGTAAGTCTTCCGCGTGATTCTTTTCCATGATTTTTTATCTCCGGAGTCGTACGAAACAGCCCTACTAATATATTCATGATTAATCATTATACGTGATCTGATCCTTGTTAGCCTGCCAGTCCCGAAGATCCACAGGCAGCATCTTCCACTGCAGAAACTGTCGAGTCGCATAGAATCTGGCTATGGCAACAGTTTGCTTCACATGTCACACCATCAGTTCAGAAAGTTGTTGAATTTGCCAAACGCGTACCCGGCTTCTGTGAACTCGCTCAGGATGATCAATTGATACTTATTAAAGTTGGATTTTTTGAAATTTGGCTTAGTCACATAGCCAAAATGACTTCTGGCACATCCATGACTTTTGAAGATGGTACTTACATCACTAAACAACAACTTGAAATTATGTACGAGGTGAGTAAAAATATTATTTTACACCACCTCTTAAGCAGATAAATATTGTCAGGGAGTTGGTTAAATAGATGCAAGCACACTTGTGAATTCATTGCTACTTTTTCTTGCGATTTCAGCCGGATTTTGTCGCTGAAATTATGCAATTTACCGCGGCGCTCAATACCTATCAGCTATCTGATGTAGAAATGGGCTTATTTTCGGGAGCAGTTTTGCTGAATGAACGCCCAGGTTTGAGCGATGTGAAAGCAATACAAAGGTTACAAGAGCGACTGCTCGAGGCTTTACGCATTCAAATTTTGCGTAAACTCGTAGCTGATAATGATTCGAACGAATCTCAAAATGACTGCACTAGTGAAGTTAACGATGCAAACAGCATTAAGGGACTATCTCAAAGAATACCCGAGCTTAAAGCTCTAGGATTGAGACACACTAATCTTCTTGATTGGTTCAGGCGTAATTGGACCAAATTGAAGCTACCTCCACTCTTTGCTGAGATTTTTGATATTCCTAAATGTGAAGAAGATCTGCAATGAGAAGAGGTATAAAATAGCTACATACACCAAACTTTTTCGTGAAAAGTAAATTTGTACGATTAACGACAAAATAGAGATAAAAATTCAGTCCGATCAATGGATAGACAATTTAACATCAATAAAATTATAAATTTGTAATTACCGAATATAGTATCAAATTTTCATGTAAATGCAATCATATCTATTACACTTTATTCTAGTTTTGCATTCTTTATCACGTCTTTATATTTTTATGAAATACTACTTTTAACGATTTATAATTCAATGTCATCTTATTTACAATATTCGTATTGGATACCTTAAGTTCCACTGAAATTCTAACAAAACTACATATGGATTACCAGGTGTATGAATTTTAAAATTACTAAAAAATTATACATTTTGTTATACAGGTCTGATTAGTAATTGGCGATTGAACGACAAAACTTTTGATTAGAACAAAATATAATATGTATTAGAGGAAGACAACAGAATTTCGAGAATCCAAAATCTATTCCATTTTCGACTGAAAATAAATGTTAGCGAAAAATTGGACAACTGTTTTCTTCAAATATATTCGGAGCTAAGTTATAATAGGCGACGAAGAATTATAACTTCTGAAATAGCTAAAGATAATGTATTGATATTAAATCTATGTCTCTGTTTGTAAATTCTCAATCTTCTTTGTTGAAGCAGCGATGCGTCAATTTAAAAAAAAATCAAATATTCTTTCTTACGAATAAGTTATACGAAACTTTTCCGTTTCTGAGTCGACTCCGACAAATAATAGATACTTATTTGGTTTGTGCGTAATGGCGATAAGACGAATTATGGTGCTGAAGATTGAAGAATGAATTATCAAATTCGAATATAATTCGCTCAGTTTTTAAACATAATAAGACAAATTCCAAGACTCTATCACGGTTATAACCTTACAGCAAGTTTTTAAAACTATTGAACCAAAAAACTTGTGTTATACAATTAGAGAGCGTAGTTTAGTTTTTGAATGGCGTGCCCTTCCAATCGAGTAATATTGTACTAGCTATTATGGAAAATTACATATTTTACGTGCCACAAGATTTTGTAAGAAAAAAAAATTAGTGCATTTTTCTGTCGAATACAGTTGATGTAAGTACAATGCGAAGCTCAATCTTCATATTTTCATTACTAAGCGCAGATTTACTAAAATAAATCTGGAAATCTACATGTCACTATATCAAGCACATTTGCTGGATGATGATTTTTGAAATCATTTGAAGCAAACCTCTGGCGTAGCAATATAGTCGAATTTTCCAATGCGTCATAGGAATAGCGTCACGCGAATTGATAAAAAAATTAAAAACAATCGTAAAATATTGTATGTATAAAATATGAGCGAGATTCTATTATAATAAATTTATATTTTTATTTCATAGCGTAATTATACATAAATATTTTCAACTTATTTGAAGTGAAATCTTAACGAACGCGTTACATTCAAGAGAATCGTTTTGTATAAGAAAACTAATATCTAAGATCATCTTTAATGCTGGGTGAATAACAGATATCCAGTTATGTAGACTATAGTTTATAATTATATACAAGATTAAAATTGCAATAATTTATTAATGAAGGTAGTATTTTAACCTAAACCAAATAAAATGAAACGAGACAAAAGATTCTCGAAAAAGAAAGAACAATTTGTTTGAATAATTTTTCGAGTATAATTATTTATAAAATTGGCTGTGGAGTGATGAGATATAATTATTTTAGATCGTGATTTTTATCTGATCTATCACGTTTTATAGCTTATAAAATATGAATCTTCAGCTCTAAGTATCCGTGCTTTCAATTACACAATTATTATCTCAATATTCTTTAAAAATAACACGAAGCGAAGGTGAGGTTTTTTCGCTTCCAATGAATTACCGTAGCATCAATATGTGAACTTTATACGACCTGAGATATTACGTATATAAAACATAGTTATGATTGTCGTAAAACCGGTACTATGTGCTTTTCAGACAAGAAAATTGCTTGCCTTTTGTTTGTACATACATCGCTAAAACCTAGCAACTTTTGCTGTAGCAACGATGCAAAAGTTAGAGTATCTTTATTTAATATAGCGGCAAAAAACTTAAACGTTTCCAAGAATAAAACTATAACAAAACACATTACTACATTTTAATGACACTCAGTTTTATGATCAAAATACAAACTCTATCAACAATGTTCTCTTTTCGCATTCAGTGCACAGCATGCTCATGTCATATCGTTGTGAGGTCGTCCAAATCTGAAAACCTGACTGCTCTCATTGTAAAGTCTTTCTAAGAACTTGAAAACTAAAAAAAAATATATTTAGGCTTTGATTATTTCAAGAAGCGATAAAATATGTGCATTCTTACTGTGAGAAGAATTTTTCGATCGATATTATCATTATCATTTAGTTTGTATGATTACCGGAATTATATAAGCAAAGGATACTGAGATTATAATATAAAATATGATTTCCTACCAATCCGTAGGAGATTGTTTAATATTGTGCTAAATCACTGATGCTGAAATATGGAGAAATGTATTTATTTATTGCGGTGCAATGAAAAAGTTCTATTTTTATTGTATTAAAAAATTGTATGTGCAATATTCGAAATAATTGAAAGAATGTAGTTAATCCGAAGTCGATTTGGCGAGTAATGAAATAAATCATGTTACGAATTGTTATAATAATTTATGAATTACTAACGTAATGATTAAACTATTTTGGCAGTAGTGCGACTCAATGTTATACTGCGAAGAATGAATTTTTTATCAGTGTTCAATATATTATGTAGATAATGCAATAGTAATTACATTTATAGAAAAGTAAGATAAATTTTTGCTATTGAATAGATTGTCGTAGTATTTTCCCGCTCACTGAATAAGGCTTTTATTTACTCTCTGAAATAGTAGCATTAAAAATGAATGCGTGCAAGATTTCTGTACATTTATAATGAATCTATATCGAGTTCTCTATTAGTTCATGCAAATCAATGATCTGCTGATAACGGCGAGTGTTAAGACAGTGCATAGCCATCATGAATAGTCTGTTTTAAAGATTTTCTCGTAATCAAAAAATATACTGAAAAATGAATTGAATCTACATACTGAATTATCTCTAACTCGAAAATGTACAATAGGTACATTTTCTTAGATGAATTTGACGTGGAGGCCAAGAAAGTTCATTATCAAAGAAATTTTCACAGCTACTGTATTTAATTGGAATATCAAGTTCATGAGACATCATTGTAACAAAACAGATGTAAGAATAGTTTTAACAGTTTGATAAAACTGATTTTCCGAGAGTAGAAGAAGCCGGATTGACACGGATAAAGGAATCGAACTATAATCAATTGGGACTTCCGTCTACAACCGCTTTATCAAATTTCATTTCATAATCGTCACGGCAGTCACAAAATCAAATTAAATAACAACTGAAGAATTTGAATATTTATGTCCGATTGTTAAATTTTATTCAATTCAATTAATAACGGAAACACTCATTTTTTACTATTGGATATCATTTCAAAAGTAAATGTCGATACGTTCAATTATTGATTGCAGAACGCTGTAATTAAGAAATAATTTTATTGATATATCGAAAATAAAATGGCAAAAAATAAGTATTCAATATATCCTCGTTCTTCTGGATGTGCGCGACAAGCCCGTTGCTTTCTTAACTATATGGATATGGTGTAAACTGTTTTTTTATACTTCATTAAAGATTATAAATAAATGTTTACGTTTCTCGCGTTGTCCTTATCAATCTAGTGCCTTCAAATTCGTGGGATTTAAATAATTTTGATTGGATAGTCATTTCTGGGCTTTCCATCATTTGCAATTAAATAACATTTTTCATTACAAATATATAGTTATACGTATATTAAGTTTGTAAATACTTCATTTTCATGTAAATTAAAAATTCATTGATAAGTTAGCTACTAGAATTTGGAATAACACAAAAAATAGATTATTGAAACTACACATAAATTATTATATTGAGAAAATTAAGTGATAACACCGTTCTTTTGCAGATCAGTTCGTTTCGATATTGCTAGTAAACAAATGCTAACTAATCAAAATACTTACTTCTTTCAGGCAACCTTTCTGGCTAATAACTAAAATTTTGGATCATTTTTGTGGTTGAATTTTTTTTAAATATAAGTGAACTTGAGAAATCGAATACATTAAAAAAGCCCAATTAATAGTGATTTTTATTTATTATCTTTTTTAAAAAATCGTAAACTGTCACTTGTCCGAAAATAAATTATGGCAAAAAGTTTAATTAAGTCATTATATATGTAAAATATATAATTCATGCATATCTTTAATAAGTCATCCTCTATACATATCTTAATATGTACGTACACAAAGGTACACAGAATGTATGGGTAAATGTATAAATGAACATTGTTATTTCGTATTACTAATTTATAATTTTTATATATTTCTTGCTAATATATTTATTAGTAATAAAATGGGCGAACATCCACCAAAACTATCTGTAGAGTTATAATGAATATTTTATGCTAGCAAAACTTTTTCGAATGAGTCAAACAATTTATACTATACGCAGTTATAGAGCTCACATCCAGTTGTAGATTAATTGCAAGTACAACATTTCAAGTTGACGAAAACCGATTGGATAATATATTTATAATGGCGGCAAAAATAAGAAAAAAATGTAATGAATTAACGTGTTGAAATTAATCAAATCCGCAGTAGTTGTATATAAAATTGTAAATGATATTGATTGTCTTTGAATCAGCTTTGTTGACAATGTGAAAATCCAAAATTATAAATTATGCCCTCTACAAAATTTCCTTCGTAAAAATTATTATTAGTGCAAATCGTGCGCATGTAATTTTGGCTCGTATAAAATGCCATGTAACGCTGCGCGTTTTTACATATCATATTTTATGCAATGTTGTCAGTATATAAGGGAATAAATATATAATGTATATCTTTTTTGCACAAATCAATATCTGCACCAAGTAGTACGAAAAATTACTGTTGTACATAAAATTCAAATTCGTCCATAAACGATTGTGAATAACTTAATTTGCGATGAAAATATGCATATTCATTACAATTTGGAAAATTAGTTCATCAATTTTATTACTTTTTGAAACCGTTAAGTCTTGACTTGGGGTTCGATCGATTGCTACATCGTGAACTAATTTATAAATCTTAAATATTACGTTTCGGGACGTAACAAAACTAATATTTTTAATTAGTACTTATGATATCTAAATAAAAATACGTTTAATATACTATACATGAAACCTTTCACGTCTTTTAGAAATGTATCGAGCTATCAAATGAGCTATTAAATTTAAAAAAAATTCTGTTTTACCAATTTCAATCATATATTTATTGAATAGCCCTTCAAAGCTTATGTTTCATGTTTGGATCTTTAAATAATTTATAAATCTTCGTCAACACATTACAACCTTTATGCAATATTTGAGAAGCATATCAGAGCAGCTCTATTATTTGTAATATACTATTGCTTTGCTCACGGAATTGTCGTACTTATAACTATTCTAATGTGATACTCCTCTATTATCATAACTTTTTTTGAATAGCCGTACACATGATTTTTTATGTTATATAAGTGCCTGCATTAAAAAAAGGATAAAACTTTTACTTATATTAGAAAATCAAACTGATCGATTGTTACACGTTTCATTATTTCACCAATATCGAGCTGTGCCAAAACATATTATACAAAAGCATAAAAAGAGCTAAATTTGGTTTTCAATAAGTTAAAACAGGTGCAAAAATTAAATCTTTACGAATATATGAATAATTTTGAAAATAATCCAGTTATCAGACGTAGATTTGAAAAGTTAGCAATATAGTATCAAATAATTGCCAGACTATCCATTTGTAAAGGATAAGATTAAATTCGTAACAGTATGGTAGCTGCTAATATTGCGCTAAGTTACGAAGTGATTTAAATATGTCACTTCTTGAATTATAAAATTATTGATATTTATTTATAATTTAATTTGTATATTTTTGAAGTCGCGTAAAAATTTCAATTATTCTAACAAACATATTTTAGAAAACCAATTACTTACTTTCAAGAAAGTAAGTGTATTTCGGAAAAAATCAATTTGACATTATATAAATTTTGAATCGATAGTATATTTTTAAATACATATGCAAAGTAGTTGAAATATTTAACTCGTAATAACAATGCAAACCCCATACACGAATATATTCTTACGGTTTACTAATTCGTCTGCACTTATTCGTCGATGTTAACTTTTCTGATCTTAATATAGTTTAAGGCTCTAATAAAACTAAAAATGAAATGTTTTTTCAAACTAAGATATATTTGATTTGAGCTAAAAAATCACTTTAACAATTATTTTATAATTAACAATTCATTTAATTGTATCGCACTTTAGATAGAATTTTTAATTGTGTCCCATTTAATGTATTCGTGCGCTCGCCAAAATGTGTTCTCCTTATAATTGTTTATGCGTACACAATTAAATCATCAACTTCATAATAATGTACTTTCAAAAAAATACATGTATAAATAATTATTTACAGAAAACTACAACTCTACAGTAATTTTATTAAAAATCCAATGCTTTAACGAATTTTCTAATAAAAGTTATTTTAATCAAGTTAATGAATATAATTGTGTTTTTTATAAATCATTCAATTCCTGTAATCCGATAAGTAATATTATTTCTGCTTGTTCTTCCTTACGAACTTCTTTCATGATTATTTCCTTTCATATGGTTTAAAGCGATCATAAACATACTAAATTTATCTTTAGATATATTTTATAAGGGCCATTGGACATCGAACATCGGATGTTGGATGAATATTGAAGTAAAAAAACAAATTGATTGTTTGTCATTATCTTACTAAAGGTTCGTGCGTGGTTTAAAAAGACTATGTGCATCATTTATTTTTGTTTTACAATTATTATTTTTTTACAAATTAATCTCAAATAACAATTTATTTTTACATCTTTGTGCAAAACTTTAGGCCTTATCGCCGTTCTATAAATTTTATTTATATTCTTCTTTCAACCATAAGTCAATACCTGCACTTAGCTAGATATATTCTGATACTTTAACAGTATATAATTTTAAATATTTTTAAAAATTAATGTCATAACTATATATTATCTTTCTGGCACCATGTGTACTATAAATTTTGTCTCAAGAAAAATACATTTTTATTATGAATAAATAAGTCAAAATCGTTAGAAATTTTACCTAATCTAGAATTTCAGAATCAAACTTTTATTATTAATACTATAGTAAATATGCATAAATACTATACGTACTATGGGATATTTATTACATAAAAACTCACAACTCAAATAAATTGAAATACGAAATAAATCAAATTCAAACTGTTTATTTTATGAAATCTATTTCTATCATACAAGAAAATTCTTATCGAAAGTGATTTTCTAATAACATTAAATAAATTATACATTTATTCAATAAGGCGATTGTCAAGTCCATTATGTACTATGATAATTATTACATAATTATGGCATGTAATAGTGTTATCGACTTCTTTAAATAGTTTTACTATGCAAATCTAGATTGACACGTTCAGTAATGACCAAAGAATTTATAATCAGGTTTTACAGTCAATGTTTCCGAAAAGTGGTAAAAGCTGATTATAGACGTTGAAGAGACTTAGAAGTTCTAACAGTACTCAATATTTCTTATTATTTAATAATCAAGTGAATAATTACATTTCGTTGATTTGGAAAGTGGACAAAAATTCTGCAAAAAAGACAATATTTTATTAATATAAAAAATAGATTTTTTTAAATTCATATCAAACGTGAATAACAAAAGTGAATTTTTATCTCATAAATCAGACATACTCCATTTTAAACGAAATATTACGTTTCGCTTTCCAAATCAACGTCATTGTGATCATTACAAAACAAAAGTAAATAAAATCATTTCAATACCTAATAATATAACGTCATTCCCAACTGCAAAAGAAGAAAATTCCATCAGTCTATCTCTTATTAATTTTATTATTACTATACATAAATTTATAAACACTAACAAAATTTTTATTGTATGCTATATTTATATATGTATCAAAATTGAGAAAAATGATGCTTAAGAGGATGATTCAGCTAGGCGGATTATATTCAAAATACATTAAGATACAGAAGATATCAATAATTTTATCGATTTCGTTATTTTCATTCGATTTTGAACTTTTTGTAAACATCTTTACAAAATAATTTTAAAAAGTAGGACCATATATTTATAAAACGTTTAAAAATTGATTAAAGATTACGAAATAAATTAGATAAATTCTTGTAATGCGTTCTGAAATCCTCTTAATCAAAGTTAAATGCCGTTTAAACTTTTCCTACAAATACAAGCATTTGTATGTTTCGTCACATTTGTATCAATCACATATTTATCTTTTTTATCAAAACAATTTTTCGATAAAATAAGTTAAATATGTGATTGACTTTTACTATATATATTTGGCAAATTTTTTTTCGATAGTGCATAAATTACGTATCAAAACTGGTATATATTTTTTGTAAACTGTATAGATAAAATTACATTTTCATCCGCTGTTGAATTGTACTTTAAAACAAAAATGATTTTTCTTTTATGACGTTCGCTTATTTATTAACAAACATGAAATCCATAAAAATTTAAGATATACTGTTAAGTATATTGAATAATTTTGTCTAAATATTCAAATGAAAAAATAAATATTATTATTATTATTATTATTAAAGTCGTTATCCTTACAAATCGCCAAGTTATTATGTACAAATATCTTTAAAGAAATAAACTTTTAAATTATCGCAAGAACATTAATCTGCGACGTATTATTATGAAGTCATAATTCATTTCATTCTTCCACACAAAATTGTATTGATTAGAACAGTTTTTGTAAACTGCTGAAAAATTCTTCTCGCAAGAGATTTATAATATATTTAATTTCCTTTTCTTGGCGTACGCATTTTTAACACAATTTGTCGTTTCTATTAATAAATTGTTCAATATCGTAACGGTCAATTCGTTTTTAACCGTAAGCTCGTCATGATGAAACTTGGTCCATTCTTTTTCTTCAGCTAATGCTTCATTGGCCAGTAGTTCATCTACCCTGTCTCTTCTTTTCCTACTCCACCTCATCACCATATTTTCACGTTGTAATTTCGTTTTAAAACCAAAGAGTGTTGCTACTTCCTTAGAAACGTACTCGTTTAGTTCATTTACGGATTTCGGTATTTTGATAACGCGTTTTGTTTTAACTTTAGGCTTTGTCCAGCTAGGTCCTGGATTTTCTTTTTCCACTTTATAAATATCAACTATTAATTCTTTACATAGATCAAAAAGAAAAGTATTATAAATTTTTCGGTTCTTTTTAGCAGTAGAACTGCTAAGATTTTTAACATTCTCGTGTATTTCGTCCGGCGCTTTGAGCATCTGAATATCTTCTCCAGATTCCTTTTTTATGTGAATTATAGCTGTCGCTTTCTCCGTAATACATGTGAGTTCTTCAATATTAGTTGGAATAACAGAAAAAGAATAAGATACACCATTAGAGTCTGATTCTCTTAAAGATCCTGGGGGAGTGTATGGAGGTGGCGGCTTGTTCGGGATATTACGAGCGTAGTAAGACACTTCTTCGGCCTCCAATTTTTTTATCTGTAAAATGTTCGAAGAATGCGTTTTAATAATACATCAATTTTTGGTATCAAAAGTACCAATATTCATTTTTTTTTAAATTGTAAGATAAGTAAAATGTTCGTCACATGGGCTCAAATTATGCACTTAATAATAAATCTAATTTTGTGAACATTAAATTACACAAAGAGCATTCAACTTTTATTGTTATAAACCAGTATATAATTTTTTTTATTATTTTCTATATATGGAATTTTGGATTAAATTTTTATCAGACTATTCCACTAAGCCAATTGAACTTACCTTAAGTTCTATTTGAAGATTTTCTATCTCTAACAGTTTAGCCTCCAGTTCAGCAACTTCAAGACCAGGCTGCTCCATAGAAGCTAGAAAAATAATGAAATTGGTGTCTTTTATTTGTACAAGTTCATGTATTAAGAATTTTTCCACAAAAATTGTAATTTTATCAAAAAAATAATGAAAAACAACATGTCTTAAAAATTATATTTTTAAGTTTTACAGCAATATTTAATATCTATTTATTTATTTTGTAGTATAAGAAAGATATCTAATTTTAACTGTGAGACTATAAATACCTTTTAATTTTTTTATCATAGTTTCTATGTCATTTTCTGTAGAAACGCCCATCGCTGTTGTCCGGAACTCCGTTGTGGCATCTTTGGCTTTTTCATTCAACAGCAATGTACCGTTATTTATTGGGATAGGGTTGATATCTGAAATTGCATCCTTCTTTATTTCTAGGATTGGATTAACACTCAGATCAAACGATTCGCATCTTGTATTATCATTTGAACTCGTAAACTTTTCCGACGTGATATATAGATTCTGTTTAGAATCTTCCTCTATGATTTTTGACTTTTTTGGAGCAATCTCATTTGCTAAATTATCTAAAATTTCTTCACTGATTTTTTCGTAGGAGTCATTTTTTTTCGAAAGACTTGACTGTTTAACTAGCAAAGAAGAAACGTTGTTATTGCTACTACAACCAGCATTGATATTTGTACATATTGGAGATTCTTTCGTGTCATCATGAGAGATTTCTTGCTGGTTACGATCAAATTTATTTGATTTATTCGATATTTCATCCAATATGCGTAGAACTTCATTAGATTCTGATTTAATGACGTACTTTTCAGGTATAGTCGTTATTATTTTTGATTTTTTAGGAAACCCTTTGTTTGTATTATTGAAGATGTCAGAAACTTCTAAACTCTCCTCAGAAATATCTTCGTATTCTGGATCTTTTATTACTTGCAATGTTTTATCTAGAAAAACGGTGACATGCGTTTTATGTATTTCGTTTTCTTTTGGAGTTATTGGTTTCTGCAATACTTCAAGTTTGTTTTCAACTACTTCTATTAAATTATTTTTTTGCTCTCCTTCTGAACTATCATCTCCTTTTTCGTGGACTGCTGCATGTTCCGGAACCTCGTTCAGTTTTGAGAATGAATGCCTTTGCATTACTGTTGAACCACATTGATCGTTCTTGTTTGCCATGACATGATTCGCCAGTGATTCAGAATTACGATTAGTATTACTAAAGATTTTTTCACTTTCAACTTTTGATTTCTTGGATTGATCATATTCTTCATTTGCTTCATCAAACCTCTTTTCAATATATACATTATTGTGCACAGCTGAAGTGCAAATATCAGCCTCATTCATCTCTGTAAGTAAATTAATTACCTCACGAGAACTTTCGGGCCAATCATCATTTTTCGTTTCTCTCTCAATTATTTCAAGAATATCATTGAATTCCTCTGAACAAATACCCATACCGATATCACTTGAATTGTCAAGTTTCATTACAAATGTCTCATGTAAATTTGTTGATTCGCCTTTCGGGACAAAAATTGTAGAGTCTTCAACGTCACTCATAATGTTTTGGTCGTAATCTTCTGCAAATTTTACTTCTTGTATTTGCCGTTCATAAAATTTTGGAAATTTATCATCGTTATCGGATTTATCATAAAATGAATCTAACTCGGTCAATATGTTATCTGAATCAGCAGCAATTACAGATGCAATAGGTAAAACATCGGTTTTATTTACTACTGGATACCTGTCTTTTTGCAATTGAATGTCTTTACGTTCACACCTCGACCCAAATTGATTGGTATCGTGTTTGCTTGCTGTTTGTATTATATTCATTGTATCATTTTCGTGATCATTATCAATAAGTTTACTTTGTTTTTCACGAACAATGTTTGTCGATCGAATTGATATATGATTATCGTCATCTGTAACTTTCAGTTGACTGTCACCAGCTCTGCTTTGTAACTTTGGAGAAAGGTGTTGATGATTAATCTCATTAATCGTGCTCTCTTCATCATCTTTCTCAACGGTTGTAGATATGATTTCCACAATAGAACAAGTATCGCTTTTGTAATCGTTTGTTTTCATTACCTGAAGAGATTGAGAGATCGTTGGAAATTTGTCCGTCCCAACAGATTTTCTAAAATTTTCAGGTATATTGGAATGTTGATCAACTCTATCGTTTTCACTTTTAATTGCTGAGTAAAGTTCTTCAATTGAAGTTGAAATATTATCAGTGTCGGAAACTCCATTTGATAATGTTTCTTTTACCCTCATTTGTAAATCTATATCAATCGCATTATTTTCGACGTTGATTTTTGATTTCTCGCATTGTTCTAATGTTTCTTTAGAATGTAATTCATCTACTGCTTTTGAAATGTTTCGAGGTGAATCGATTGATATTGAATATTGATCGCTCGACTTTTTACTAAAATTCAACATCATTTCCGAGAGCTCCCGAAGGTCATTTTCTAAGTTATGAATATCATCATTCAACTCTTTATTGTGTAATTGAATGTAACTTAATTTATTAGAAAGAATAAATGGTGATCCTTCATTGCTGTCATGTGTTAACTTATCGTTAGTGACTGAATTGTCATTTATATCTTGTTCTAACTGATTAGATGATATTTTACTTGCTATTTCCTGAGAAGTGTTGCTGCCTTGTGACAGGTTACAATCTATAGTGTGAATACCTGACTTTCTGCATTTTTGAATATCCGTTTGAGATCGTGATTTGCTTAAATTTGCATTACTTGTTGCAGAATTACAGTCTTCTTCTAATAAATTAGTATCTTTCGTTCTTTTGATCTTTCCGGAGTGAGAATTTTCAAGTTTAGATGAAACTACTTCGGCGTCGTTTGATTCATTCCTATCGTTACTATTTTTATTTATTGGAGTAGCATCGGAATCAGACTGAGAACACAATAAATCACTTCTTCGATAAGTTTCTCGAATCTTCTTAATCGGTATATCAGGTACTTTATAGTCATCTACAGATTTCGACACAATTTCTAGTTTTGAATCTTCCTTATTCGGTCCTTTTTTCGTTTCAAGCTTTTTACGCATTTCACTAATAGTCTCATCATATTTCTACAAGTTGTAATGAAAGTTAATAAGAATAAGCTCATTAAAAATATTATAAATATCAAGCAGATAAAAAATTACCTTGATTTGATTTAATAAATTAGCTTCTAATGCTTTTAATCTTCGTTTCGCTTGTTTACGAGCTTCTTTTTTAAGTCGTGTCATTTCCAAACGACGGTCTGATAATTTTTTTGTAAGAAGTTCTATTCTTCCTTCTACATCGCTATTGTCTGATGAGATTGTAGAATCTGTAAATTAATTATTTTGAAAAGTTTTAAATGAAAATTTTATTGTCATAGTAAGAGCATTATGCTCTGAAAATTATTATTGTGGCAACTCAATGGATTTACAGCTTTGGGATGAAAAGAGGAGCATGAGACTTTTCCAACATTGTTTTCACTCTTCTTGCAAAAAAGTAGCAAAATATGTCATTTTTTAATATTAACAATAATAAAAAATAATGCTATACGTTTGACAATTTGAAACTGCATCTTGTGAAGTTTTATAATTTTATTTCTACATGAAATTCAGAACGAAGGGTTTCAAATTGTCAATATAAATAATTACTTAAAAATTAAATTACTTGCCAAGTTGATAAAAAAAAAGATAATTGATTTATCATTTTGTATTCGGCTTGGAATTTATAAATGGTCGGCGTTAGATTTAAATGGTGGGATATTGGAACATGAATGTCAATTTGGTTGAAAAATGAAGAAGAACAAGTGCAAAAATTACAAATGAAAGTGCAACAGAATACGTTTTGGGTAGGACGTTAACATTGTTTACCATTACGCGAAAGTGTTCCTGCGGTAGCGCTTACAAGCTTGTAAGCGGCTTTTTCCATTCGTGAGACACGTTCTTCCTCGTCGCGTAGGCGCGCATGCCAAGCAATCCACTCCTCTACGCAGTTGCGCCTTGATATCAGCGTGGCCTCGCGAGCTTTCAGAATCCTATGAAAGATATGTGAACCATTAATTCACTTCGGAATAGCATTAGCGCGAGTTCGCGAGTCAAACACAATTGTCCGGAGATAATCAAACGACAGAATGTTCTGTGGTAAAATTGCATCCGAGTTGAACTTAGTCTCTTACTAAGTTAACTAAGGAGAAAATAAAGAAAGATCTATTTTGGTGGGTTCTCACTCGCTGTGTCGTTTATACGCGAGACTGACGAGTTTATTCTGGGAGTGCGTGCGAGCGCGTCCCGGTCTAAAGTCCAGTGTCTTGCTAATTTACCTATTTTCCTTTTTCTTGTTACGTATTTAAATATCTATCATAGATTAGCACCATGTTTGATCGCCACAATCAGTTTGATCAAGTTTACTGAAGGACAGTAAGTGGCAGAATCAGCATGCTCTCCATATTGACTATTCGTTGCTTATAAATAATAATCGATATTTTCAATAATAATCATCCCGATTAATTGATACTCACTGCTCAAGCTTCTTCGAAGTTTGAAAACTGGAATTCGGCTGATAATCTTTATGTGACCTTATTACAACTGATTTCAAATAACTCTTGTCGCTGTCATTGGAGCTCTGATGCGATATTGCAAGACTAACGTGAGACTGCACTGAAATGTTGTCACTCTTTTCAATAATATCCTCATCTTTTTCCTCTTCTTTCTCTGTTGTTTTTCGCTCTTTTTCTCTTGACAACAATATTTCGGAACTCTGTTTTGTAAAATGTTGCCGCTCGTCAACAATATCCTTAAGCAATTCTTCGTTCCGTTCATTCAACAAGTCTGAATGCTTAATAAGTTCTTGCACTGATATTTGTTTTGTGTTCGAACTGTTTAGCGAATTCGCAGGTTTAGATTTATGCCATTTCAAACCTTTGCGTTTTGTATTTTTACTATTAATGTTTGATTGTAATTTTTCTGATAATGCTCCATCAAGATTTTCGTGTGTTGCTAAAGGTTCATCAGCCGTTGAAGTCTAAAATAATAAAAAGTAAATTTTACTCATGATGTTTCAACAAATATAAAACATAACTAATTTATATTGAAATTTTCGAATTCTTACCTCACTTTTGGACTGAGAAAAATGGGATTTCCAAATTTCCGTGAACTCTTCTATCAAGGCGGATTTTGTTCGTACGTTTTCCAAAATAAAATTTTGATCTTTGCTTCGAGACAAACTTACATGAGCGTCATCTTTTAGTAAATCAATAGTTCCATTTCCTAATACAGATTCAAGGTCATATAAATGATATTTCATCTCGGACTTTGGCATTCTTTCGTCAAATTTTTTGGATCTTAAATCACATTTCATTTGGGACATTGTAGCTTCTTCAAAATATTTACCTGCTTCTACTTTTGAAAAACTTTCATCATGACTTTCAACTGAGCGAGACGTCTAAAATAATGATTATTAGAAATATTTTTGTAAATGTAAAATATATATCAAATGACCTTATTAGAAAATCTGAAATTAAGTACCTTATTAGAAAATTTGTTGATCCCTAGTTTTAAATTACTTTTATTTTCCTTTTGAAGCACGCCATCAGATGTGTTCATTGTACAATCAAATTTTAAGCGATCTAATTGTGATTTATCAGAATCTATCAACGAACTTATTGATGAATTACTACGAATATCATAGCCTTTCATAGGGCCTGAAAGACGCCTTGGAGATTGGCTATCAGCGCTTCTTTTTAGTTTATGAAGAATATTTTTAGTTGACATGTCAGGATTAAACATGTCACGTTGTTTTTGTAACATGAGTTTTCTCTCTTGACTAGCTATTTCATGAAGTTCCTTTAGCCTGTATAGATACAATTATTTGACATTTATAAAATTGAAAATTTTAAAATTAGCTATATTATACAAACAAGTTCGACCAAGTGGTTTTTACCTGTTCATCTCTTCTTTTTCTTGTTGTAGCTTAAGTAGCAAGGCTCTTTGTTTTTTCTTTACTGAACTGATTCGACTATCCTGTCCAGTATCTCTCAATACTTTTTTCTGTTCCTCAAGCTTGACCAATTTTCTAGTGCGGTCATTCAAAGTTTTCTCTCGCGATTTGAATAACATTTCAATTTTATTATATCTTTGCCTTTCATCATCAATCAACTGAGCCATCTAGAATATAAATGAATGTTAAAATAATTTATCATTAAAATTATATATAAATGATAAGTATAAAAGGCTAATGAAAAAGGTGAGCATGTCAAAGGGTACATTTTATTCTCCTCTAAAATTTTAATATGAATTTTATTATTTGAAAAACGTACCTCTAAATCTAAATTTTTATTAAATGAACAAGTAACATCGCGTAAAGAAATGCTTATTTCTGTGCCTGTCTCTGTTCTAATAGAGGATGTAGTCTCATGAAGGCTTATTTCAGACAATGTTCTCATTTGTTTTGAAAAGGAAAAATCATCCAGTTTGGTTGCATCTTCACTTTTACCTCCAGAGTCTAATGAAAAATGAAGAGTTTCTTTTGGACCTGTACATTGTTCTGAAAAAACTAATCTACAGTCAGCTTCATGTTGATGTGAAATTGTTTCCGTTTGTATAACTGTGTCATCTGCTTGGTGATTTGGCTTATTCATCACTCCTTCTGTTGATGAATTTTTAACCTGCTTTTCGTTATTTTCAGCATTAGTAAATTTAGATTCTGTAATGATGTCAGAACTTTTATCCCGAGTGGTATTCGAATTAGCGTTAGCATGGTTGCTGTCTTCAATAAAATGAGATTGTTTCTGTGTATGCATCACTAATTGGTCTGATGTATTACTTTCAGACATTGTTTGCACCTATAAATATAAATTAATTAATTTTAAATGATTCATAAGATTTTGTTATTCTTTATTGTACAAAAGCATATATAGTATTATATATATATATATATATATATATATAAAAACTTGAGATATTATGTGTATTTAAAAGTAAGTAATTGAGAAGTAGAAACTATTATTACTATAATTATTTTGTAAAAAATCTACATTTGAGATTATTTATTTTTTTTTAATTAATTAATTATTTATAAGAAACATGGCTTGGAAACTACACGAGTTTGAAAATCAGAATGGACTACTAAAAAGCTAAATCCATTCAAGTATTTGTGAAGCTTGAGCCAGATTGTGATAGCATGATAGAACAATTTCAAGATAATAAGTATATTACATGGCTATGAAAAAAATATACTATTATACTATTATATCATAAATTAAAAATAACCTCTGTTTCTTGTAATGAATTTTGATCCTTTCTTAAGAATTTTGAATCTTTATAATCATCAGCATTGTTCATATATTGTAAAAATTGTTTTCTTCTTTTGGAGCGAATCATAAGGTTGACATCTGGTGTGACAAGATCATTAAATTCTGGTTGATTTGAGTAACTGTTATCTCTAAAAGATATTCTAAGTGGATCCATAAGCTTTTCAGATAAAGAATCTTGAGAAAGTTTTGTTTCAATAATACTATTGTTAGAAGATTGATTATCATTGATAGTTAAAACAGTGGAACAATCACACTGAACATTATTCTGTTGAACATGCAAGCTGTTAAATATATTTTCTTTAGGAGTGGAAAAGGTCAGGGCCTGTTTTTGGTACTTTTCAATACTTGTCATTATACAATCCTCATTGAATTTCATGGACTTTTCATTATTTGAACAATCTTGTGATATTATTTCCGTATATTCTACAGAATCATTGTTATGTTGATCTTTTAATAATGCTGTTTTGGCACTAGGATTTTGTAGTATATCATTTGTCTGTTGTAAAATATTTGATTCATTGGCCAACTTGTTACTTTGATGATCATTGTCAAGAGTTAATTGTCCTTTCCAACACGTATTTGGTTTGACTTCCTTGCATAGTTTTGTTGTTAATAATTTTGAGGTTTTAACAGATTTCTCTCTATTTGTTTTGGCTGGTTTTTTAACTGTATTACAAGTATCTTTGAATCCTCGATTTAGAATGCTGTCATTTTTTATAATCTTATTGCTTACTTTATCTAAAATATCTTTTTTTGAAGAATATTTGTAATTTCTAGAACCTTTTCCTATACTTTGAACATCATTCCTACTTTTTGTAGTGTTAATATCTGCTTTTTTTATTTTTTTGAATCTATTTTCTTTATCTTTAAAATTATCCCTTTCCCTTGCACTATTTTTGAAGGAATTTTTTTCTTTTGATAACTCAAGATTGGGTATTTCCAGTAATTCAAAATTTTTATTTTTAAATGTTGTAGTAACTGTACTTGAAGGGCAATCAGAATATGTTAATGCTTCATTAATATCATCTGATTTGGTTTCATATTTGTTATCAGATTTTTTAATTGTTAATAATTTTTCTTGTGAACTTTCATTTTTTTCGGAAACTTGTCCAATCTTCGAAGAAATTTTCACATTTGGTAAATTCAAAGGCTTCACTGAATCCATAGAATATTCACATGTGTTCTCAGCTTTGGCAAATTTATAAACTTTGTCAAGCGATGCCTTACTTTTGTCTAGAGACAGTTTGCATTTCACAGCTGTCAAAAAAGTAAACGGATAAGGCTGAGCGTGATTTTTAAAACTTAACTTTTCTAAAGTTATCTCATCGGAGGTTTTATTTGATAAATTTGTTTGTCCAAGTTCATGTTTTTGTTGTGTACAAGAAGTTGAAAGTTCCTGATTCTAAAATTAAACAGATGAACTGAATTATTTGGAATGACTCAAGAATTTTTGAAATAGTGCTATAAGATACTTACATTAACAGACTTTGTGGTGGATACACATGCATTTGTGTTGGTTATAAAACTGCATTTATTGATTTCATTATCTTTGGACTTCATTTTTTTCTAATAAATAAGAGTTTTTCATTGCGTATTTCATTGTCATTTTAGTAGTCTTTACTCATATTCATGCCACTCAAATGTCACATTGACTGTTTTATTTACACTTACGCTTATATTTGGAAAACTTATTCTGAAAACAAAAAATACTTTATATATTTAATAATTATAATAGCATTAACTTTAAGGCAGAAAAGTACCTATATTTTATATTCCTATAATGTAGGCATACTAACAGAAAATTATTTTATTTTTTATTATAAAATCCACCTTAAAATTAAGGTTAGTAAGACGACTATACATAACGAAATTGAAAGTTACATTCTATTTTTATCAACTGCCTTATAAAGACTTAAAATTGTTCAAACAGCAATTCAATCAAAAGTTTCTAATACAGTTTATAAACAACTTCGGCTTCGATGTTGAAAATTTCTAGTAGTTAGTAGAGTCAGTACTCGACTCAGTAGCTAATTTTTACTGTTTGTTAAGCTGTTTACACATTCTTAACGAATATTGAGTTTGAATGGCAGTTGCAGAGTAAACAGAAAAAAATCGTTTTGAATTTCAATCATTACAAAACATTTTTTGCATAATTTACACATATTTAATATTTAATAAAAGAAAACTTACAAAAATAAGAACTACACAGTACAAAACAATAGTTAAAATAACGAATGTAATATGTGGCAGCGCTCGTCTGTGGAGTGAGTCAAACGATTGATTGCACTCACCTCGAATCTTGAACAAGCGAACCAAGCGAACTGAACGGACCAACAGCCGTCATGAATCGCTATTGGTGAAAATATTTGATTGAGTCACACTTCCATCTTCCATGAGGGTCTGTCTCCATAGGGCCTGCCTGAGTCCGTCCGAGCCGGCCGAGATTTTTTATGGGCACGCCATCTCTATAATTTCGTGTTCATGCGTTTCTCGTATTGGCTGCGTCCGATCGGGCTCGTTTATGTAAACGCAGCCATTCACTATGAAACTCGCCATTGGATACGAAATTATAGAGATGGCGTGCCCATAAAAAATCTCGGCCGGCTCGGACGGACTCAGGCAGGCCCTATGGAGACAGACCCTGATACAATTAAGTGTCGTGTCCATACGGGATTCCTCTTCCTTCCCGACCCCGGGACCGTCCCCGTCCGAGTTTTTGTATACGCATGCCATCTCTATAATTTCAAGTTCATAGATTAAGATACGTATCTCACATTCATTATGAAACTTACCACTGAGCTCGAAGTTGTAGAGATGGCGTGTCCGTATAAAATCTCGGATAGGGACGGCCCCAAGGTCAGGAAGGAAGAGGGATTCCGTGTGGACACTCCCTTATGTATTCCCGAACATTAATTCGCAACCCGTGAAGTTCAAAATCGGATTTATTTTCAACAATTGAGCAAGTTGAGCTCCCGCAACTTGTCGGAAAAACCCTCTTGATATTATCCATGTACAATCATGAAAAATAATTCATATTTTAAACTTCGTGGGTCGCAAATTAATTTCTGGGCAGAGTATATATTATATATGATTGTACATACTTACATTATACACATGAAAAAGGCAGTTTGATCTTGTCGACAGGCGATTCACATATTTCGGTCTTTATATATCTGTCGTAATTCACGGCCAGCGAAATTGAAAATCCGAATAATTTTTTATGATCGAGCATCAATAATACCAAATGAGGTTAGATCAAGTTATTTTTTGGCAAGTTATGTTGTATCCCCCCACAGCTTGCCAGAAAAAATTCATTTAAGCGATCGATGCTTAATCGTCGAAAATAATTTGGATTTTGAACTTCGCGGGTCGCGAATTGATGTCCGGGTGTATATTACATGCTATATATATAGTTCAGTACTATAACGTATCGTTTCTGTGTTTAGGCTAAGTTTAAGTCATCCTATTGATGCTCCACTTCATCATTATGACTACACCGCTTTTTAGCATGAATTTTCATCTAAATTCCAACCGATTATTTACTAATTCGCAATTGCTACAATGCTTCATTGTTTTGTTCAGTCTCTTCAATCTGTCGCTCTGCCTTTACGAGGATCAAGTAGGAAAATTCGACTGGTAAGCTGTGGCCTTGTACACGTTTTTGTTCATTTCTGACTTCTCTATAATATTTATTTTGATAATTTATTGCCAATCGTATTCTGCATATTTCTGCCAATTATTGTTATTTTCTTATATAATTAATTATGTTAAATTAATTATAATACTTATTAACTTAATAATATTTAGAGTACTCAGTACATACATATATATATATACATTATCATTTCTACAAGAGCATTCCTTTCTTAGTTCTATAGAATTACTCAATTTAGTTTTTTCTTGATTCAGTAGTATTTCAAATCCAAATTGCACATATGATTCTATCATAATTCAATAAGCCAACCTTATACCTATGATTGATTATCTATGTAGTGTATTTAATTAAAAATTTGTTATTTAATTTTATTTAAATCTATTCATAATTTGTTGAATAACCTTACTGAGTTTAATAAAATATATTTTGTCATTCATTTTTATTTCAGGAGACAAAATTATGTCGGAAAAATAAAGTTTGCTAGTTTTGATACGGTTTCAATGGCTAAAAAAGTAGTTGTTGCAACTGAAGAAAATGTTATTGCAGCTTTAAATGTTAAAACAGGTATTTTTTTATTCAAATTTAATAATTTGAATAATATGTTTGTTAGAATAAATTGAAAATTGACATACTATATCACATTGTAGGACAAATATTATGGAGGAGAGTGCTAGAAAAAGGATGTGCTGGTCGCATACAAGCATTTAGTAATGTTGTAAGTGGAGAATTGATTTCAGTGAATGGTGGTGTCCCAGCTATAGTCCGTTATTGGAATTTAGCTACTGGGCATATAATAAATGAATGGACATTAGCAGAACAAAATCCAGATAGGTACTATTTTTTTTTTTCATAATTCACTCAATTTATAACTACAAACTAATTTTTACTAATCTGCGCTTGGACTAATGATAAATAATTATAACTAAATGAGTTTAATGCTATATAAACTTGAATATTTTATAATCCAATAAAAAAGTATCAAAAATCACTTTTATATATATTTAAATTTTGTAATGTCTATTTCAGAATTGATTCTCCATTTATATCATATTCTACAGCAGGGCTTTACAATAGTGAAAGGTTTTACTTTACCAATTTTTTTGCTGTGCACTTGAAAGCACATTAAATACAATATCAAATTAAATTTACAATTATAAATTGTATGATACACAGAATTTGTCACAAATCTATATTTTTTCAATATCTTGTAATAAGATATTGATAGAATTTATTTATGTTTCATGTTAGATAAAATATGCAATGCATTTTATGTGTACTTTAATAGACAATTCAATCAAGTAATACTGTTGTAATATTTGCAGGATTGAAGATGTTAAATGGCACATCAAGGATGGAACCTTACATCACATTCTACCAATTTATAATAGTGGTATTGAGGTGACCTCATATGATAGTAAAACTGGAGAAAAATTGAAAAATAGGAAAATTTCTGCACCTTTCATATCTCAAGAAACCGAGTAAATGTTTTATGTCAAAGTTATCTTAATTATTTTAGAATAGAGTTTTTTTTTATTTATGGAGATAACTTATTACAGGTGTATTTTAGCAGCATCAAATTATGTTTGTTTGAAAGGTGACGGCAATTTAGCACTATTGTTTTATATCAATATATTTGAGCCTAAATCGGAGCCTCAGTCAATAACAATTAACACTATATTTGGCGCCGGTGCTCAAGGACCTTACAAGATTACACTACTTCCAGGAAATATACCTGCAATATCTATTAGTGCAGACAGTAATAATAGAAAGCGCGTGGTATTATTTGAGAAAAGCCCTGAAATTATTCCACGTGATATAGATGGAGAGAACTTTTTGTACGTTACTAATTTAGATAGCAAAAAAATAGTATTAGAGTCATCATATCAAAATGAGGTGAATATAAAAAATTAATATATGAATCTAGCAATGCAAGAAATGTTTACTTATTTGATTCCAATAAATTTTATATATTTTAGAATAAAATAAATTTGTTTTTAGATTACAACAATTACCACAACTGAACTTAGCGTGAATGAAGCTCAATCTGAAAAATTAGCATATTTAATGCATAGTTCACTATTTAAACCTGCAATCGTCGCGGCCGATTGTTCTTATCAGTCACAAGCGTCGAAAAGAAAAACGTGTAGATTGTTACTCTCCTCTGAGGACAATACTGTCAGTTTAGTTCAACAAGATATTATCTGGACTAGAGAGGAAGCTCTTGCAAATATTGTGGCCGTTGAAATTGTTGAGTTGCCAATGTCAGATCGTGATCAAGCCATCGAAACGGAATTTGACATCAAAGAAAGTAAGTAGCACAGTATATAATTTTAATTACTTTATTTAACAGTTAGGTGAAATTCCGCCAATTTTGAGTTTCAAGTACATCTTATTCTATTTAAATAAATCAATATATTAACTAACTTTCTTTTACGAACGGTTGCTGTCAGGTCATGATGTTGATAGTTCATGTAAGTATCATATACGTGTAGGCGACATCAACATTTAAGTGTGGAGTTTGATTTTTCATTATGATTTTTTTATGAAAGCATGATTTTAAAAAGTCGAAATTTTTATCTTACATTTTTCGTCAGCATGAGTGTTCTAGTGTTTATTAAGCATTCGAAAATGTCATTTTCAATGAGTATCAAAATTAAATGAACTACATTGTGGAATTATTATTAAATAGCAATATTTTCTTGCCGTGTTAACCTTCTACAAATAGATTTTTTATTAGTTTAATTTATTTAATTGTTTTGGTTTTGTCAAACGTTGAATCGACTAAATAAACTTGTGTATTACATCGCTAGGCTTTAATTTTTAAGTTATTATAATATTCTTTTGAGTTGTCGTTAATAGTTAAATTGTTGATTTATCTTCTCTTTGGCTTTGATGATTTCTATAAAGAAAAATTCCGTGACTAATGGATGATTTGCGCTTACATTAGGGGATATATTTGGCATGTTGATTCGACGACTAAGCTCTCAAGCAAATCAAATAAAAGTTTTCATGCAAGGAGCTTTGGGCTTTGAACCGCAGCAATCAAATCAACGAGCCGATTTGGTTCGTGATAAATTTGGTTTGCATAAAATGATTGTAGCTGTTACATCGTCTGGGAAGGTAAAACTATTATATCAAATTTGAACGATAGATAAACTGATTTTAATTTTCGTATGACTTATATTAATAATTTACTATTATAGCTGTACGGAATAGAGTCAAAAAAAGGTGAAATAATTTGGCAATCACGAGTCAATAAAATCGGAGGATTATCTCAGGATTCCAATAAGATAGTTCTGTATGTTCAACGTGGAAGTAGACACTTTCCGCATCCACCTCAGTGCGCACTGCTTGCAACAGATGACGTAATTTTTTATTTTATCCGCATCTTCAATCACGACCTGTAAAGTTGATGTGAAATTAAGAGTATTGTTAATTTTGTAGACCACTGGCAATGGAATAATATACACCTTCAACGCAATAAATGGACAGCCATTGGATAGACTGACAAAGTTGAATTACCGAATCAAGCAGTCAATTTTGTTACATGCGTTAACCGATACTTTTCTGCGTGGTATAGTTATTCTGGATGAGCACGATCGAGCACATGTCTTTCCAGAAAGTGCAAGCGCTGTTGCAACTTCTGCTGGACGTAATACTTACATCTTTACTGCCGACAGGAAGACTGGTGTATTGTCCGGATATTCGCTTGCTTATAGCAACTCGCAGAATCTAGTTGCTCACAAGGTGCGTAAAACTATTTAAAAGTTTGAAAGCTTCCATTGAAATTGTGATACATTTTTCAAATTTATTGCCTTCGTTTAGGTATGGGAGTTAGTTTTCTCACCAAAGACACAACGGATAACGCATGTCGCCTCAAAAAATCCAATCGAACGTGTTCACTCGCAGGGTCGAGTGTTGAGTGATCGGTCAGTTTTATATAAATATATCAATCCAAATCTGGTTGCTGTTGTGACTAAAGGAATAGGTGATGCTTATAAAAGTAAATTTATTATATGTATAATAAAAAGGACTTTACGAAAACTATTTAAGTTTACTTAAAATCTTGTTTACTTATTTATAGATACTCTCAATTTGTACCTTCTTGATGTCGTATCTGGATCAATGATTTTCTCAATCGTACATAAGAGAACCAAGGGACCAGTACATATTGTTCATTCCGAAAACTGGGTTGTTTACAGTTACTTTAACGATAAAAGTCGAAGAACGGAAATAGCTACGTTAGAATTGTATGAGGGAAAAACTCAAAGCAATACTACAAGTAAATTGCTTAAAATAATAATTGTTACATCCATACCAATTCATATTTAACACTAACAATAATCATTTTATGTTGTAGCTTTCTCATCATTAACTAATACAAAGTTGCCAATTGTGGAGAGGCAAGCTTTTATATTTCCCTCGTCAATTGATTCAATGCAAGAAACGATTACAGAGAAAGGAATTACTAGCAAACACATCTTAGGTGAATAATTTAATTTAATAATGAATTGTTCTACGATTTGCTATTCGCTTTCAAATATCTTAACCGGAATGTTATTCATTTAGTTGCTTTAGCAAATGGCGGAGTGTTGGAATTACCCTGGATATTAGTAGATCCAAGAAGGCCAGTGAATCCTGAAATGAGGGAAGAAGGAGTTATTCCATACATGCCCGAATTACCGATACATATGGATGGCATTATAAATTACAATCAAAGTATTTCTAGGGTATCTGGAATTCACACTAGTCCTAGTGGTCTTGAAAGCACATGTTTAGTATTTGTTCACGGCCTCGGTATAAGTTTTCTTTTGTCTTATTATTTCTAAGCTATTTAATTGCATGAATAAAAGCTAATAGGCTAAATATTTTTCACAGATTTATTTTACACCAGAGTAGCTCCATCAAAGACTTTCGATGTACTGAAAGAAGACTTTGATTATTATTTGATTGTCATAGTGCTAGCGGCTCTATTGATATCATCGTATGTAACAAAGAAGTTAGCATCACAGAAAGTACAAAAGCAGGCATGGAAGTGATAGCGCGAAAATACTATCCACCAAGCATTTAAAGTATGCCTTATTTCAATAAGTGACTTTTGATAACGGCAGCTATAATCAATGCGGTGTTGAAGCACCTTATACCGTAACATAATTTTTTGGCGGTTTTCAATGTAAATCACGTAAAGTCACATGTACACATTTGAATATCCGAACACCTTTATGGATATGCTCAATCCAATGATTTTTTAGTAGTTATATTGCTATAGCGACATTTCGTATTATTCAGAGACCTCAAAACTAAGTATGAATGTTGAATGAAAACGGCACTTATTATTAGTACATTTTTATTAGTGAGAGCAGGTGCAACACCTATTTATAAGGTTACGTGTATTAGGTTTATTAAGGTATGGTCAAATATGTTAGAAAAGTTTGTCGTTGATTAGGAATTGATATTGATATTCGGACAATTTAAATAAACTGTTACATGTATTTCTAACTGAATTTATTTGATCAAAGTTGTTTACGCATTCCTCTTCAAAAATTGATTTCTTGCGACGATTTGATTGACGAAAGACTGTTATTCAGTGGATGTATTAAATGTTCCATAAATATTAAACGTTGCCTCAAATTTGTAACGATACTCTTATATTACAAAAGCATTTAATCATTTCTTAATAGATGCATTGAATGGTTAATACATTCATAACTTTATTTTGAGTTTTAACTGCCAGACCATAAATGTACAACTAAATCGATACAATGTAAATATAATGCCATTTAGCAATTTCTGAAAAAAGTGAACACTGAAAATCCATTGAAACATAATATGCTTTATATTGTTTTAACTAGCCTGTAGTATAGCTGTTAATAAAAAGTATAAAGGGAAAATTGTACTTGAAAACATTGAGTGAATCACCATTGAACCTTCAAGTGTACAGGAAATCATTGAATCAAGCGAGAGCTTTTGTATAAATGAACTAGTCTATAAAAATATGATTACGGTACTACAAGATTGTTAAACATTTATTGAAAATGATTATCACATTGGTTATAAACGCTATTAAATTGAAATAACAAAATGATAATGCAAGATAGTTGGAAAGCTCTTATACATAAATATATAAGTACAAGAACAAAATACACTATATCAAAGTACACTCATTAGGTATGTACATACGTGCTATTTTAAAAGTGATTTAAATATCGAACAAACCTACTGTCATTTCAAGATAAATTCACAACTGAAGCATTAGATTGTCACTTTGTATTCAATAAATAAAATAAAAGTTACTTTTCGCACTATATATTTATGTTTTATTGCAAGGGGTACGACGAACTACTTCTCAAATGAAAAATCGATATGTAATATGTTACGAAAACTATTATGGCAGATTGAAATTACATGAAACTTTTTGATAAAAATAAAAAGTTTTATTATTAAATGCAATAAAATAAATACAATAACACGCACACACACGCGTTGCAACAAATATTGAACGGTTAAACAATTTTTTACAAAATTATATGGATTGAATTTATGTGTACAAATATTTTTTTCAAATTCTGATAATAGTTACTGTTTTGATCTTGATTCGCCACCTATTGATAAAAAATATATTAACTTTCAAGTTAGAAAACTTCATTATCGTCGAATAAAATACTTTACGTTACCGTTGAATACCAAACATTGAGTTGATTTTCAGGTACAACAGAATCAACATGTTTACTCCAAATATCTATGCATTTTATCCAAACAATGTCTGCATTATAATCTGCAATATCTTTATACATATTTATACAGTAACCCTAAAATATTGTATAATTAGCATTTTTATAAAAATTATGGAGCCTTCAGAATACATTTTCTTTTATTTACTGCAAGATACCTGTAGTTGCAAATGCTGGCAACTGTCAAGATAAGGTTCAGTAATTTGTAATAGATTCCAAATATCCCTTTCATATAGTTTTAAATTTTTAATGAGTCCTGCCAGTCCACATAATATTTCCCTTTGTAATTTAAACATTTGTGTGAATTTATAAGTACTTCCTGAATCTTTTTTCAAACTTTCCTTGGATGAATTTTTCAAAAAAGTTGTTAAAGCTGGTAGAATTTGCCTGTAACAAATTTATATCAATTACAGCTTACAGTTATTTAAACGAAACATTACATTTTTTTACTCTAAATGATTACTTGAGAGTACGCGAACGAATAAAATCTTGAGAAACTTGAGCCAAGCGACATAATAATTGCCATGCTTGATTAACAACAAGTGGATTTGGATTTTGAAATCGATCAACTAACGGATGCCATAATTCATGTACAATTGGAAGTAAAACATTTTCCCATTTTTCGAGGATCAAAGAACCTTCTTTTAATGTTAACATAGCTATAGAACTTTCACTAAAATTCTGTGATGGCACAAAATGTAAACATCTTTTCATAATATCTTTAATCATATTAATATAAAAGGGGACATTTTCATCTTTTTTATCTATAACAAATAATATATTTATCATTAATTGAAACAATAAGTTAATAAGGTAACAGTAATAAATATTTAACAAACCTTCAACATAATTTTGATGATTATTTCCATCATTATTGTTGTTTTCAATATTATCTAGATCAGACTCCTTCAACTCATCATTAAATCCACCAAAATCTTCATATAGCTGTGAATCCATTTTCGCTTTGTAAAATTCCAAAAAATTATGTATTACTATGTCTGATGGTTTTTGGAATTTTACTTCTAGAGGCTTATTTTGAGATATTGGTTCATTCAAAATTAATCTTTGAACACATAGCACAAATGCATAGAAAACTTTCAAAAAGGATTCAGCATTGTGTTTTTGAATACTAGAAGCTGATTGTAATAGTAAATCATCTACAATTTCTTTTAAATAAGATAGAAAGTCAACTGTGCTGTAATTTGTAACAACTTCAATTACATTTAAAACTTCAGGATTTCTCTCTACACGTCGTAATTTTAGAGTTACATAATATGTAATATAATCAACATTTGCTTTGAACAAATCTCCTAATGTACTAAATCCTAAAGATTCAGCAATAGTTTGAGCAGTTGACAATCCAATAAAACGTAATAAACTATGTTCACTTCCTACAAAGATATTTTATAAATACAAAACTTATTTTTACAAAGAAACCGTTTTTGCTTAAACTTTTGTAGAATTGTATGAAAACTTTCTGTGTACCTGCTCTTTCAATCACCAAGTATAATGTTTTTAAAAGTAAATATTGGAAATCTTCTTTCAAAGTGTTTGCTATTATGCCAATACCCTCCAATAGTAAACAGCATTGCACAATATTACTTTGTGCTATTTGAAGAGGTATTTGTTCAGACACTTTAATAGGTAAGTACCAGTAATCTGTTGCTACGTAATGTTCAATCACCTGCTTACATATTGGCATTTTGGCTGTAGATTCCATGGAAGCTACAATAAAAATTGAATTATCAATAAATATTATTATTCTTTCATCATAATAATCAATAAATATTATTATACTTTTATCATAAAATGTATTACCTTGTAAAATTACGTTCAAAATTAATGTCAATTCTGTTTTGAACTTTGGAATTTCGAGACTCATTTTTATTATGTTATTAACTAACATTTTTTGATCTACAAACTCTCCTAAAATTTTAAAAATATTATATAATTTTTCTATTGAAGCAGAATCGAACAAAAATGTATGTTGCTTCCAATATTTTGAAATTCCATGCAAAGCACTTTCTTCAAAGTCTAAAAAGCAGAAAATTATGAAAATTAAATTTCTTTTTTATCAATTTTTGTATATTACAAATTTTAAATGTTTTATCATTATTGTATACTTGTAGTAGTTCGGTCTTCTAACAATGAAATATTACTAGAATCCATTTCAGATATGTATATCAAAGATAATAAAAGTTTTTGTAAATGTGCCGCAGAAAGCAAAATTACAGATAGTCTTTGCTTTCCAAGTACCTTCAAGTAACCAGTCAATCTATTTAACCAGACTATCTGTAGTGATTCACCTACATGAATTAATAACTATTAAAAATAGTAAAACAATGTATATATTAAAAGTATATCATACCTGAAGTTCTAATTATTCTAGGTAGTTTTGTTAAAAGATTGTATAGATTTTCTTCAAGTATTTCAATTACAGATTTCATGCTACTATGTTGAAGGCACTTATTTTGAATTTCAGTCAGACTTTTATTTGCTGTATTAGCAACTTCAGAATTTTCATCCTCAGACAAAGTTATTAAAATTTCCAATAATACTTGGAAACATGACTTCATGTTACTAAAATTTTCACACTTTTAATTTAAAGTATATTTTCATATATAAATTCATAAATGTAAAGTTGTCAAATTTATACCTGCTGCAGGACAATAGTATAACTGTAACTCCTTGTACTAGTTCCAAACGAACTTTAAAATGAGAATGTTTAGTTATATTGTCAAGTTCTATAAAAATTACTTTAAATTTATGAGATACAGCACTGTACCACTCAGGAGTTCGCTTTGCAGTTTGTAAAATTTGTTTTATTGTATTAAGATTTTTTATATCTTTTGATTTAATATGATCTAATGTAATGGATGATATTTTAGTACTTTCTTCTTGAGGTGTATCTTGCATAACAAGAGTCAGTACTCTACTCCACACTCTTATTGCCATCTGTGAAAATTTCAATTACAACTTTAATAACATAAATATTTAACTATTTTTAGTCATCAAATTATTGCAAAACTATACCATTGTAATTTTATGACTTTGGATGTCACTACCAAGAGCTACATCTAACAGTCCTGTTATAACTCCAGGCAAAATTAACATTGCGACATCAGCTATTTGATGACGTAAAACAATATCTTGAGAATCAGCCTCATTATGCAATTGTAATAAAGCCATGATAGCTTCCATAGCTGCTAATCTATACAAACATACAAAATTAGTATATTTTGAATGAAATCATGAATTATCAATAACTGCAAGATCATACCTGAGGGATGTTGATTTTTCTTGCTTAGCTATTTTAACACATAACCATATACCATGACTTAATAAAGCAGCCGATTGCCTAGTATAAAATGATTCTATAATGCTGATTGAACAGCTTTTAAAAAGATTACCCAGGCATTGAATAACAACTTCTTTCAATTCCTCATGAGCTTCTATTACTATAGAAAAATTTATTTCGAATAAAATTTTCATGAAGGTGATTATTGTAAACTGACTTACATTCTGTTGTACTCTCTTGTTGGCATATTTGAGAACGTAAACAAAAATAAATTTCGTGGAATAATTTCAAATTATCAATCTTAGTCTTAAGCAAAATTACTTGAACAGTTTCTACTAATTTTAAATTATCATCTCTTCTGCAAAAATAAATATCCATGTTATCGTATTAGTTGAAAATAAAACTCATAATTTTTCTAAATCATCTTGATTTAGGCACTAACTTGAGAGTATTGCGCTTTAAATGACGCGTCAGTGGATATAAAATAATATCATAAATTTTTTGAATAATTGTATCAGAGGTTCGTTTAACTAGTGAAGTAATTTGCGATGCTTTTTCTGCACTTGGTTCTGTTTCAAAAGATTCACATAAAGGCTTAAGTTTGAAAAAAATTTCAGCAATTGCAAAATCACTCATTTTAATATCCTAATTCACTGCTTTCACGAAGAAATTAAGAAAACTGCAAGCCAGAGAATTGAACCCTCATAATAAGTTAGGTTCTGTTCTGACTTAGCCTCTAAACAGATTCTTTAGTATACTCTTCTCAGGCTTCCTGGCGTATTTCCCCATATTAAAAGTATTAGTAGTTCCCAATAGAGGGTCCTTTAAAATTTTGGCCGTAAAGTTGGTTAATTGGTCAACGTTGCCTATGACAACTATATGTACAGTCGCCAAACATTGATTCTGTCCACCCATTTAATATTGTATAAAGAATATGATACTTTGTGGTTCTTTTCAGGATATTAAACAGGATAAATTAAGAAGAGGAGACATGAAGATTATTAGAACTATATTATATATTATATATTACATATATATAATATCTTTCAAATGATATTTGTAGGGATACATGAATTTGTACTTGTTCTGTTTAAAAAGCTTGTCTAAGCTAATTTGATACACAAATATTTACTTTGTAACTAGTTATATTATATTATTCATTTTATATAATTGTACTATATCACTACTCAAAACTGGGTTATGTTTTCAAATTCGCCGCGTAGCAGAAGTTAAATTAAAATCCAGATCTGTAAACTAACGAGACATTTAAAATTTTCAAAATCAATGTTCGGCGATTGTATGTAGTATGTACACCCAACGTGGATTGAATCGCGACCCCCCCAGTTAGGTTGGTATGAGAATTCCGTCGTTGCATTGAACGAAGAAACCGCGGGAAAATTCAAAAATGAAAATTCGTTTTAAGATACGATAAAAAGCTAAAACGTTACTAATTTGTTTTTAGGTTTAAAATTAATTGTTTGCCGAACAATGAATTTAGATGCATGATTATTTGATTTTAGGTTTTAATTATATAATTTAAGAACGAGCGTTATACTATGGCCGATCTGAAAACCACCGTTACGGACTGAAAGTAGCACTCATAGTCTCATACCAACCTAACGATTCAATCCACGTTGGGTGTACATACATGGTTGTCATAGCAACGTTGACCAATGTAACTAACTTTACGGCCAAAATTTTAAGAGGCCCTCCCAGGGTTGCCGCTCGAAATTTTCCGTCCCGAGATTCTAGGAATTATTTCACTAGATCTAGTCGGTTTCTGTACGCATCGGCTGCTAGGTCAGTGCTGTACTGGATCGTTCTATTTGCATGGAGCCCAGGGCATAGCAAGTTCATCGAAATTTTGTATTTTGTATTTAATTAACAACAAAATTTATTCTTTTCATGTAATGATAATATTTATTGACTCATATTTACGCTAACTGTGATCTATAATATGTTTTGTTGTTAATTAAATACAAAATACAAAATTTCGATGAACTTGCGATACCCATGCAAATAGAACGATCCACTACAGCACTGATCTAGCAACCGATGCGTACAGAAACCGACTAGATCTAGTGAAATAATTCCTAGGTTCTCGAGACTAAAAATTGCGAGCGGCAACGCTGGGCCCTCCATTCGAAACACACGCATTAGCATTTCCCATTTTGGGGCGTTGCCGCGCATTACGTTGACGCATTTTTTAGTTTATTTATTTTATTTTTCTTTCATTAAATGGCTAACTATCAAATAATATTTCTACCATTAGTAATAATCGTATTACTTACTGTTTTTGTCGAAAAAGGTGTGTTACTACCATTATTTTTTAGTATGTCGAATTATACACAAAAATATTGATCATAACAAAGTACATTGTTTTAGCGAAACATTTAAAAAGAATTCAAAATTATTTCGATTAAATAGATTTTGTTCATTAAATTAAAAGTTATTTTGAAAAGTTTTGTTTCAACTGATATTAAAACCGTTGAAATTCGTTAACCCTACTTTTTTTTAATTACAATTGCTTTTATAAAATACTATTATTTGCAGGATTTTCAATTAAATGCTGGGTGTGTAGATCTGATTCTGATCCAAAATGTTCAGACCCATTCGATAACACGACAATTCCAATTACTGATTGCAGTAAAGAAAGAGAATTAGAGCATTTGCCTGGAGTCAGACCAACAATGTGTAGAAAAGTTCGCCAAAAAGGTATTTATTGCAACTGTTAATTCACTAAAGACATATAAATTAAATAATAATATTTATAATCTTATTAATTTAACAATAAGAAATTATTTAACTGATTTGTGAGATTTACAGTTCATCAAAATAAGTTTATCAACTGTCAGCTTTGAGTTCATTAATAACATTACTTTTATATTTATAGTTAATGGAGTTTGGAGATTTTTCCGAAGTTGTGCATACTTAGGTGAACCTGGTATTCAAGGAGATGAAAGATTTTGCCTGATGAGGACAGGTACATACAATATTTTTATGGAATATTGTACATGCAATAGTAAAGATGGATGCAATTCAGCTTCAGGAATTCAACTTAATAAATTTCTCCAATTCAATGGAATTGTTACAGCTATTTGGATTTTTTTATTTTCTAGATTTTAGTCTATTTATTATTATTATTATCTTAACATAGTTAGTTACAATAGGTTTCCTTCTATAAAACCTTGTTGTATTTGTCAAAATTTCATTACTTAAAGTTTTCCTGTTGAATCATCACATGTGCTTCACCAGATTAACTGATGTTTATAATGAATACTTAATTTGTTACGATTTGTAAACCATTTTAGAATTTAATTTAAGTATACTTTTAGTACAAAAATGAAAGGTCTTAAATCAGAATATTGTAAAAATATTTTATACCATACTTTATATATGCAAGAGAAGACTGCTAACAACTCCGTCCACAGTAACATATGAGTTAGTATAAGTTTAACGCATAAATAACTATATATCAGAAACAGATAATTTTTTAAGGCTTTTAGCCAAAGATTAAAAATTTTGTACATAAAATTTAGAGAATTGTACAAGATACTTTTTATAATTTTTATAAAAATTTCATGTTGAAATATTAAAATTTTGTATTTAGATTTATTGCATTATTCTATGAATTCCCAAAATACAAAGTTACCATTGTCAATACAAAATTTAATTTTAATTCAAATTGAAATGTTTTGTCTGACTTATATATAAAAGAAATTTTTTGTTGAAATTATGAGTAATCATCATTAAAAAAATTTTTGATAAAAATAAAAATATTCTACTATAAAGTAAAAAATAATTTTTAATAATTTTCTTTCTATACAATAATTTTAAGCGATATATTATATTCTAGATTATAATTTATTGCATGTTTAATGCGATAGTATTATTGTTTTATGTATATATATACACACACACGCACACACACACACACAATATGAAAATGAAAATTTAAATAATATTTATCACATACCAAATCATATTTATCTTCCAAATTATTTAAGGATATTTTATACAAAATATTTCTATTGTTTTTATTTAGTGAAAATTTTGAATTATTATGGATTAGACACATTCATACCTACTGAAGATAATGAAACTCCAAAATTTAAATAGCTATATATTTATAAATATACGACTGAGTCGATGACATAACCTATTAAATGCCGCTTGTCACCGTGCAAGTTGGGCTTTGCGGCATGTTATTTTATTGAGTTCAACAAAAACTATAAATTAAATATTAATTATTTAGTATTAAAAGAAATATATATATGCGATAATATCAAGATGCACTGCTGCAAAATGAATACCAAAATACATGCTCGGTGTACTTTTTTAATTAGACAACTAAGTACTCCTGTTAATGAAAGTGTATCCAAAGAATTCGTTAAAACACAAAGTACCGTTAATTTATCAGTTTTAAAAGAAAATGAAAACAAAGGTATTGAACCACATTATCCACCAATTCTAGATCTTTCTCGCCGTGCTAGACAAAGTCGTAATCGCGAAAAGTGGCATAATAAAGTGAAAAGTTTAGGAACAATAGAAGAGAAAATTTTTGAGTTGAATATGCCTAGATATTATGGATGGAAAGCATTTACATTAAAAGAGGGCATATTACCATATGATCCTCTGCCACAAGCACAATATATCACAAATACTCATATAGCCAATGAACCAAAATTACCTTCCTACTATGACAGTGTTATTTCACTTGAAATATTAGATGCATCAGTACAGCAGATTAAGAGTCAAGTAGAAGATATGTTGGCATTTGAATATAACTATCGAAAGTAAGCTAACAGAAATTTTTAATACAATTTTTATGAAAAATATATTTAACATGTTTTAATATTGTAGGTTGGATGATCAATTGAATGCAGAAAATTATAGGGATAAAGCATTTATGGATGATTTAATGGGAAAAACTATCAGTCAGCAAATGAATAAGATATTATCTGTAAACTTTTCATTAACTCATGCTCATTTGTTGGAATCTGAATTAGATATTGATCCAAGGATAGAGGCTTTCTGGTTCTTTGGAGGTTTAGAAGTACCAAGTGAAGTGAAGAAATCCAGAGCTGGTATAAAATGGACTGCAGAATTCAAAGATGAGTCTATTAATATGCCTTTAAAGTATACAGGAAGTCCAATTTTACATTTGAGACATTGTTTACCTTTAAAAGAAATTGTTTCATTACAAGAGTCTGAAAATTTATCTCTTGAAGTCCCTGTTGAAGCATATGATTTAAGAAAGAAAGGATACTTTATGGATCGTCTAAGAGCAACTGTTATACCTGGTTTTTGGCCTGGTGATCATAGCGAATTTGGAACTGTATCCTATCATAAAAGAGGATATCTTTGTCACAGACCAGAAGTATTCAATGACAATTTAGATGCACTTAAAGCACAAGCTGTATTTGGTTCATTCAGCTGGTTATATACTCAAGCTTGTTATCAAGGTAAGATTTAGTTTCATAGATTATTAGAATTTACTAATTTTACATTCAATTCTCAAAGTTTGTATAATTTTGTTATTTTAAAATCTAAGACTAGGTTTAACAATAGCTTTTTTCAGGATTTTCAACTTTCCAAAATCCAACTTATCCTTTTGTAAATCAAATGATTATCACCAATGGCCAGTGGTGGTCTTTTGCAGTTTACCAACTCAATACAACAGCAATGCACATAGATGTCATTGATAAAAATCCTAGAAGAAACATTTGTTGGATAACGGAGCCTATGCAATTATTTGAAAAAATTGAGAATGGAAAAGTTTATGGGTTTAATGAAGATGTGTTGAAGCATTTGATTAAGTTCTATGTTAATACACCTGAAGCTAAAGAGGGCATAGAAATGAAACCATATGTACAAGGTGAAGAATTCATTGCAAATATTGAGGATCCTGAAAGAAGAAAATGGCTTGAAAACAAATATAAACATTTATTATCAAATCGAATGCGACACAGGTATGACTTTTTATTAGTTATTGAAAAATACATTTAACGCATTTATTTTGATGCTGTGATTTCGAAATAATTCTATTTACTAATTTGAATAGATTTAAATAATATCATTTTAAAATAAATAATATTTTAATTACAAAACATTTTATTGAATATCTATCAATAAAAATATTCAACTTTTTTTAGACTCGTTCCGGAAATTTATCATTGGCAACGAATTTACTTGATTAAATTTAAGACTCGACCACTGGATAAAAAACGTGAACCATGGGAGTTTGGCATTAACGTATTTAAACGGAGACTCGATGATCACGCATCAGAGTATATTCCAAAACATCTTAGACCTGATCCAAAGAAGCATAAACAGATTTACAAATGGGCTAAGAGTTACTACCCCAAAGTCGATGGTATAGATAATGATGAAATATATGGTTATAAAAAAACAGGAAAAAATTACTTAAGAAGAGGATAAAACAATAAAGTTATTTCATTTACTTTATCAGAAATGTACATATGAGATTTTTCAAATTTATTGAAAATGTTTATAATAAAATACAAATGTTTTTAATGTTTCTTGAAAATTTTGTTTTATATTTTTGATTAAATCTATAAAACGTTTTACATTTATTGAATGGTTTTTAATGAACACTAGAATTGAAGTTTCGGAAATAGCAGTATCTGGAACAACTGATAATATTTCTGATCTCTGAAAGGCCGTGAGCTGCCCGAGCTCCGATTTTAAAAGCTGAACTGCGGTACTGTGAACGCTCACCCCCACAACGGTTCTCGCAATGGGTAGGGAACCCAACTCGTCCAGCAGGAGTTATCACCACTTAATGCAGTCCACACGTCATACAAGAAAAATAAGGCCAAAACAAACAGTTAATAGAGCATCCTCAGCAAGCAAGAAGAGGAAAATATGCGAGTAGGATTTCGAAAACCAGTAAGTTTTGGAATTCAAAAATTCGACATCCTCTTGTCAAGATCAACATGAGATATAAACAAATGAAGAATTTACGTGGTTCCGACAATTGGGAATGAGCAACGAATTCATTCTGTTACCTGTAACTCTATAAGAAGCGTCACAACAATACTATATTCAATCCAAACGAATCAGTGATAGCACCACCAAAGTCCATGATCGTGTGATACGTTAATTTTAGATTAATAGTTACGGTCTTGTCGGTAGTTATATAATTATCCGCGGCACCGTCACTGTGATAATCTTTTGGCACCTTTGGTTGAGCCGTTATGTATATATATATAATTTATTTTCCTCCGATGTGGTTAATTTTAGCTCAGTATCACAATAAGTCGCATAGAATACGTATATACTATGTTCTGTCCGCCAAGTTTTTACCCAGGCATACTTCGGCCATTGCTGCATCTAGTTGAATAATTATACATAAATTTCGTCGAAAGCATTCTTTGTTTTCAACATTACCTGTTTTTATAAAACACAATTTGAAAATAATGTTATTCGATATCATTATCGGCACTCTACTCGCTGGAAAATAAACTCAAACTTGTAATGAGCACGAATAGTAACGTGTAAGGTCAGTTGAGTAGTTGAAAATCAACAGAACCTACTTTTTTATTCAAACAGCTTTTGAAATTTGTTGAAATTATGTACTTGGAATCTTTCGTTATGGTTATCGTTATTTCGCGTACAGATCGTAATTTTGAAGACTGATAATTTTGAAAATCAATTGAATAAGATATCGTAAAATTTCATTTGTAGGAAACGTGCGCGGGCTCACCCTTATTTACCTGGCGTTGGGGAAGACGCTGAAGCGACTGGGATTTTGCCCATATGTACCGTAGCCGTCGCGAATGAAACATGCGGGTAAGCAGTCTAGGCAAATTAAGGATTATTTATAAGCGACCACTCGAAAAGACTTTACGTAGATTAAGAAATACGTGTTGCGAGATGAACGATCGCGAAAGGCGGAGGAGGAGAGTGGGTCGACCGTCCCGGTTCACAAAAAAAAAGAAAATGTACTAATGCCAAGTTTTTTTGGCCGGTTGCGCATCGTTGCCGTGAAGCCCCATCCCTTATTACATCTCCAAGAAATTAGTTCTTGGAGGCTGCAGACCTCGCAGAAAGCTTGCTTCTTTGTTATACAGGTCACCTCGTACGGACAAGGAATTAGTACATTACGATAAGTGCGGGAAAGTAGATTCTTGTCTCTGTGGCGTTTACGCCCGAGGGAAGCGAGTGTGGAAAGGTACACGAGTCGAGGAACTCTTTCCCGAACATGTGCCGTACCGTATTTTTTTATACGACGTGTGGAAAGTGCGATTTTCAACGCACGTTTTCTGCCGAGCGTGCGGGAAAAACGCACTTTGCGCACGGAGTGTCGAAAAACTTCGTGTCGACCTTGGGTCCGGAGGCTGGCGGGAACAAGTAATTAAGGAAAGAGCATGGCGGCAGTGCATGCACCCCTGTAAGGTCCACGAGCGGAATAGGCGGGTGGCTAACAAAATACGTCGGTGACAGTAGTTAGTTTAGCGCCGCCTTCTCGCTAAGCCTGTGAGGCTGAGTCGGTCCTCCCTTGTCTTTTTTCCAGAAATTTATTGCGAGAAGCACTTTTTGTAAACAACGTCATTGTAAACTGGCTTTGTCCCGCTCACTACCGGATTTTTTATGCCAGTTAATAATACACTTTTTTTTGGAATAAAACGTGAATTAAAGAAAATTTAATAAAACATTCATCCTCGTTGTTTCCTCACCCCTTACATCATGTCAAAAATTCAAAAACAAATATGTCGAATATGAGTATTTCTAGTAGTATTGTATGTACATTGAAAAAAGACAATCAGCTCATGTTAAAAATCTTGTAAGTGGAATAGTTTCTTATATAAATATATAAATTTTATATAAATCGAGCCGAAACTTTTTTCGAATGATTGCTAGTAACATTAACTTTCCATTTCGCTAATAGATACATCACATAGTAATACGTGGAGGTAAGAGATAAAATAAATGACTTTCGGAAAAGCCCGAAATGGCCATCTCCATATATATATCTCGCGACGTTGCTCCTATATGGCTATTTGTATGCAACTCTTTACCATGAATTTTGATGAACAGTAAAAAATGGCTGTAATACAACAGGATTAATATATTTTATTTACATATTTTGTTTATTATACTCATCGAAGATCCGATCTTTTCTACATTCATCATAAGTTTGTTTATTCAAAACAATTGTACAGTCCATCTCATTGTTAAAATGAAAAGTTCCACGATATTATTGTCGTGTGAGTTATCATGTTCATTTATTATGCAAGCTTGGGTCATTTCGCGATAAAAATTAATTATGGCCTTATATGCAAAAAGTAATGAACTTCCATTACTATAATGTCATGTCATGAAAAAATTTTCTTTTTAATATTTCGAATAATTTACTTATTAAATGTATATATTCGATTTTTTAAGAACTCTATAAGACTAACTGGTTACCGTCCTTGCTTTTCCAACTTAATTTTTATCATAATTTTTTAGTCTTGAAATGTTTTTTATCTCTCGGAAATTGGTGAACTAGAAGAAATATATTTTTATTGTAAATATTAAAGACAACTAGCGCAGTACATATTTCTGCATGATAATATTTTCAGAGTGTAGTTTACACGTGAGAATTTATCTGTGTGTATTTAACCCAATCACTGTGGGCAGAATCTAGGCGCGTGTTACCGCGTGAAATGTTTAGTATGAAAATGTTGATTTTGTACTAACGCGAATACTCAAGATATATATTCAACTGGAAACTTGAATGAAACTATATTAAACTATAGATAAGTTGATAAGTATACTATCAGATCTGTAAGACATCGATTTTTATGAAACTTCAGCAAAGTGTTCCTAATAAAATATAAAAAGACACATGTATTTCAGTTTTATCTCATGTGGGCGTCTTTATGGAACTTATATGACCTTATATTTAGTATGTAAATTAAAAAAATTTTTTAATTCTTCAAAATATTGGTTTCCCGAAATTTATTAAGGACTTTATTTGCGAAATTTAAAATAGCATAACTTTTAGTTTTCATCAATGACCTTAAAAATTGAGTTAATCCCATTTCTTCAAGAGTTAGTTAAGGTTAAGGAAGGACTTGATTCTTCGATATGATGAATATAAAACTTCGTTCAAGAAAAGTCTATAAGATAAAACTGAAAGACACGTCTTTTTATTTTTTATCAGGAGGATATTTGACCAAAAATTTAATCGAAGCCGGCTTTTCTGCGGCTTTTGATGATACATTATTATTATTATTATTATTATCATTATTATTATTATTATTACTTCAAGAATTATTTCATGTGGAACGCTGCAAAGGTATACAAAGTACCTATATTACAGATTAGTCTTGGTTTCCTACAGTTTAAGGTGGAATCCGAACCATGTCATAAACACACAATGATGTAATCACGCAATTCATTACAGCAGATAAATTAAGATTATTATTGCCTGTGCAAATGAGTTATAATGAGATCAAATGAATGATTGTTGGAAATTCAATAAGTTTATCAGTCCCTGTCGGAAATAATTTATGCAAAAAATTATAACAAATAAAAATCATCAGTTAGTAACATTTGCTAACAATTATTTACAGTTTGTAACCATTTATAAACGCTAACGTATTGGAAACGTATTGTTACGTCTTACTAATTGTGAGACGGGAAAATTTTTTTATCCTTTTTGGGTTGTGATTTCTCACTTTACCCGGGTAAGGAAAGATTGGTGTTGGTTATAAATACCTATTTTCCTTGAATCTAAAATCCAGTATTCAAGCGCCAATCTTTTCAGAAGGCTTAGTGAACACTTGATAAAAGATCCCACTCAGCTTATAAAGATCCTAACGATCCAAGTTCTGAGCGTTAAACTAATGTATCGAGCCTATCCAACTCGTTTTTCAACGAGAGGACCGAGCGATACGGAATTGGGAAAAATGAATTGTGAAAGGTGAAGAAATGTAAAAAAATTAATACTTGAAATAAAACTTACTTTTTATTTTTCGTAGAGTCATTTAAAAAGATAATTGTAAAGCTTGATAACTAATTGTAAAACTTGATTACTAATTATAAAACTGGAGCATTGTACGCTCGCAAAAATTGAAACTGAAAACTGACTTTTCAAAAAAAAGTATCTTTGAGCTTCTTGAGAGAGAGTGAATCCTTCGAGTGTGGCACTTCTTGCTGCGGGTGGCGTAGCAGTGGTGAACAGTTCGCGCCTTACTAGCAAATTCCCTTAGGATGCGCTCTTTTTCAAAATAAGGCCGCAAGGGGCTTTGAAGGATTTGGGCATGAAAACTTCAAAACTGATTGGTGGAAATTTTCCCGCAATAGGGAAGCGTACAGTTTCCTTAAGATAGATGGAGTTACTCATGCCAAATCGTATATAAAAGTACTATTATTTAAAATTTTATCGTGCAAGGACTTAACATACTTTTATTACTTAATTATTATCTATTATAAGTCATTAAATATATATAAATAACAATCTGAAAG